CCAACCACCTCTTGCCCGGCCGGCTCCCAAAGAGGTCGGGCAAGCCCCCCCTCAGCAAGGGGGAGAGGAGAGGAGAGAGGGCTTTGCGATGGGAAGAGGGCCGGGGGAACGAGGTGAAAAGGGGCTGGGTCTGAGAGGTGGACAGCGAGGAAAGCAGAGGGTAGGGCTTACAGCGGAACGAGAGCGGCAGGGCAGCCGGGAATCGGGGAGAAAGAGGGAGCTCCGTCAGGTCAGGGGCAGGGTCTGCCTCTTCTGAGCCGGTGCAGCAGGCAGGAACAGGCAGGAGCAGGAGGCTTTAGGAAGAGCTGCAGTGGGCTGACTTAGCCAGGCAGGCTGGTTACAGGCTGAAAGAAGAAACAGACTCACTTGGATTAAGTGGCATAGATTTCCCACCAATGTATCCTACAAAAAAGACCTCAGGCTCTTCCCTCTTCCTATTCAGATTTAGGATTCACAAGCAGTAAATTCGGCTTTTAGTCATAACACCTCTCCCCCACCACCCACCCACCCCTTTCCTTGCTTTTTCACTCTGAGTCATCTTCAACACCAGTGCCTGCCTACTGCTCCCTTCCAGGGTTTCATGGCCTCATCTGGGGCTTCGGCAGCTTCCAGCTCATCCTCCCTCCTTGCCTCTCTCCCTGCTTCCCTCCCTGCCATTTGGCTGCTTCCGAGTGTATCCAGCTGCACTGAGTTGGTCTGGAGTTCCAGCGCACCCACAACTACCACTCCTTTCCTACTAGCCATAGTAGCATGCTGATAAATAGCATCCAGCGACTGGTAAAGGAGTACAGGGTGTAGATAAACATGGTGTTACATTCTCCCCTCTTTTTAAAGAGCTTAATTATCTGGACTTGTCTGGCTAGATCAGGACTTCTCCATCAAGCTAAAAGGCTGGGCTGTTGACATCTTTCTCCCTCCATTAAAGGTAGTTCATGTTTACTGGCAGCACCCACTGTTCGGAGCATGCAAGGTCTACGCAGAGAGAGAGGTACCACTGCAGTAGGAAGACCTTCCAGTCTCCTCTAGTCCTGGGCTTTTGAGACAGGACTGCCTGCTGCTGGTGCTGTCGACCACCGGCAAGCAAAGGCTTCCGGCAGGCAACAGGTTAGCCGTAGCTGTGTGCCGAGAGATGGAGGCAGCCGGTGTCAGCTTGCTTCCCTCCAGCCTCCCGGCCGCTGCTGCCCAGTGATAGAGCAGGCGCTGCTGTCCTTTTTCATGGCTGAGAGAAAGCAAATAAGCAAAGGTGCGTGTGTGTGTGAGTGAGTGTGAGCGTCTGTGTGTCTGCACAGAAAAGGGAGAGAGGCTAGCAAACATGGATTCAGGATTTTCGGCTCCCCAGTGGCTGTGCAAAGGAATGAAAGGTCTGCATCAAGGTAAGGAGTCCTAATCCAGCTGGAGTGGTACACTCCACTCGGGGGAAGAGAAGTGGGGGTTGGGAGGTGGAGGGGCCAGGGTAAGAGACAGTGCAAGATGAGGAGGAAGCAGGGAGACAAAAGGGAGCAAGAAAGAGAGAGAGGCTCTCGCCCCCTTCTCTCCCCTCCTCCCTCTTCGAGGTGGGCTGAGAAATTTCTAATCAGCACTTGCAGTCCCTTTCCTCCCAGCAATAATTTCTCTCTGTCCTTTGTTTGTCTTTAATTTTTGGCTCTTGCATTTATCTTTTGTTTGGTTTTGTGCATTGTGACTTCTTACTGCAATTTCAAAAAATCCTGCTTGAGGTACAATGGATTTGGTTTGGCTTCTCTTCCTCCTGCCCTGCTCTCCCACGTGCCTAAAGATGGTATTTTAATTACAACAGCAAAAAGATGAAGAGCAGGTCCCCCTTTATTCCTTTCTGTGAAGTGACACGGGTTAGGATATGTGTGGGACTGTGTCCTTCTCATTCTAGAAAAAGAAGGTACAATTTGTCAGGTATGCTTAAGACCCTGTGTAAAGCTGATTCTTGTAAACTACTAAGTGGAGCTTGATTCTGGAATGAATCCTCCCCTTGTGTTTACCGTTATTAATTATTAATTTAAATATTAATTATTCTTATTAATGCTGTAATTCCTAGTGCATTTAAAACTAGAGAGAAGTGTTGCACTGGAGACTAAATTCCAGTTTTACTTACAGAACAAGCAGAGCAAATTTTTCCACCTCAAGACTCAGGCTAAGCTTGGAAAGATTACAGTTAGAAGACTGTCCCCATTAAATTGTGACTGTCCCCATTAAATTGTGATCTTCTCTCCCTGTTAAGCAGTTTTTCCCCAATAATTTAGCACTTGGTACTTGTTTACTCTCCCTATGCAGAAGAGCCATTACAATGCAGTGGTGTAGTACAAAGGTGGGTAGATTTACTACCTCTGCTTTCCCAGCCACAGTTTAGGAGAGCAAGCTGAGGGGGCATCCTGGAGCACAGTTGTGCTTTGCTGTTTCCTGGCCAACTTGACTAGACTTCTTGGGAAGGCAGGGAAATGGATGGATGGACTGTTTTATCTGCCTTGGTTTAGACTATTCATCTGACTTCCCTTGGCTGGCTGCATGCAGCATAAGCATAGTATAACTGGGAAGAAGTCTCATGTTTTTCTTACTTTTTATTCCTGTGAGATCACCTTGAGTGGGACTGGCAGCAGTGGAAATCCCAATGCCATCCCAAGGACGGGTGTTATGGCTTGGCGTTACAAGGCTTGGAGAGACTCTTCCCATTTCTTTTCCTTCGTTCTCAGGCTTCTGAGTGATAGTTCTGGGAAGGATTTCTGGGATGCTGAACCAAGACTGTGAACCAGGAGCTGTCTGATGATTGTAACAGCTTTCAGACAGTGATAAGACAGGGTGGATTTGATCTGGTGGCCAAAGCTGAGATAATTCACCTGAAAACATCCAGAGTGACTTTTGTGAATGTGTGAAAAGGGCAGGTTGTAAGAGAGTGTAATGAATGCAGGGAAGCTGGTAAAGGGAAACCGATGCCAAGAAAAGCCCATGAAATGTCTTGAGCTCTTGCGAAAGCCCTTATGCAGTCCTTGGCGTTTCAGGGCTGTGTACTTCCCTAGAGAAGTCAGGAGCGTGGGGTATCTGGGGACAGCATCACAGAGAATGGAAAAGAGCAAGGAATAGTCCAATGTTTACTGCAGTTAGTTTGCAGAGTTTGGGCTGTGTCCTACATGGAGTGTTTTTGTATTGAGGTTCTGTGCTGTGAGTAGTGGGTGTGCAAGGCCATGATTTTCTCCGACTGCCTTGGTTTTGCCCCCTTCCAGGTTAAGCAGTTAGGGAGGTGAAATTCTTGGGTTTGCTATGGAGCTGTAAAAAGCAGTGCCGTGATTTTACCTCAGCTGCAGCTGACCTGTTTAGGCATTGGTTTCTGGCTGGCTAAAAAAGTTGACAATTAGTGGCCACAGAGCTAAGAACACTAAGTCTGATAGGGACCAGACCAAGACATCCAATTCATTTCCTGTAAGGCACTCAACACAGTCTGATGGTGATGAGTTTTGCTGATAAATTGCACGGATTGGATCTAGTCCAGCATGAGTAGGCAAGAATCTGTACAGCACGACCTGGGTGATCCCACTGGCTCTCTGTTCACCTGTTTACACAGCTGTTTATCATCTCTGACTCTTCAGTCTCCAAGCCCAGATCTTGCACTTCCCGATTCAGGCTTGATCCACATTTGAAAGTATGGATGATGTGGCTGTGTTCAGCAGTGAGGGAAAGAACACTTTTAATTGCTGCATAGTAGCCAAGACACAAAAAAGAAAGATATAGCATCCTTTTGCCCAACAGTTTATTTTGTTTGGGGAAGTGATATAAACTGCCCTAGGAGCACTGTCTCTTACCAATGAATGTGCTTTTCTGCCAAAGTCCTTAGGTATATTCTGGGTGTAGTTTTCCTGAGGTGCCTGGTTCAGGGCCTGAGGACTTCCATTCTGTGTGCACAACTGCCAGTCCTGTCAATAAAGGTGCCTGAAATTGGGGGATGTAATTTTTGTAGTTTCATAGCATCAGCTGCATTGCCTCAAGCAAGTGGTCGTGGGAGCCAAGTAATTGCAAAGAAAGAGATGCGATACATGCATAGATAGGGAGACCCGTTCTGACGTGAAGAATTACGTGTGCTGCCTTCTCTTGGACTCAGATCTTCTCTTACATGCTAGAAGGATGCAGTCTGAGACCTATTACACTGAACTACGGTATTTGGCTTTGCCATTATTTGCAGGGATTAGTGCTTTAGATCAACTTTGTTCTAACTAGATGATCTTTAAGGTCCCTTCCAACCCGAACCATTCTATGATTCTATTCATAAGGCTAACTTAAGGCTGTGTAGTGAAGGTAAATCTTCCTGGGATTCATCTAGCCTCAGGGAGGCATAGGCTCCTCCAGAGGGCAACTGGAAAGCAAGAGCCCAAGTTACTACCTCTCAGTTGCCTTCTCTTTTTTACTCATGGAAGGCGCTTATGAAGATCAGGCTCACAAGGCTCAAATGTGCCTTTACAAATATCCCCTCTATAATCACTTCCTGGAATTTTCTTTAATCACCACTAAAATGTATTAGCGATAGCTTGTGTGTAATGTTGATTGCATATTTTGAATGCATAATCTGAGGATAGTTTTGGAAAAGAGTCAGAGAAAGGAGACAAATAGACATTGGCAATGAGAAACAGAAAAAAACCATACAATTATATTTCTGAAGTGTGATTATTTTTAAGCTCATTCTCTGGGAGTGTATATATACACATGCACAGACACACAAATCCATGTATTCTCTTTATTTTTTGAGGGTAAGAATATCTGTGTTTTTAAGATGCAGTTGATGAATATTTGCAGACCTTTTTCTGGGGATTTAGGAGAACCAGAAAGAAGGAAAGCAAAATTGTCACGTAGTCATGAGACTCCCACGAGCTGGATTTTTATTGTGAAAGTTCAAACATTGTGAAAGTCACAATGAACAGGTTGCTTCTCTGGAGTGCAGAATTACATTTCCATGCTGATTTTGAAATAAGGGCTGATCTTGCTCTGTCTGCAAGAGTCAAAACATAGCAGAGCACAATTCAGTTTCTTTTTAGTCCTACTTGTATTAAACTAGACAAAGAGCTGCCATGGTGCTGTCACTAAGCTTGTCATCCTTTTTCACATCTTTCACTCTTTTTTGCTCTGCTGTATAAACAGCCCAGAGTTCTGTCCTGTGATACATCTGAGCCTTTCCTTATCCTGGCTAGTCTCTTGAAGATTTTCAAGGTCAGCTGTTTCTTCTTGAAGTTGAGGAAGCCCAAGCAGACCTCTGTAATTCACGTGCATGGACATAACTGATAGGTGTGAAGCCACCATCTTGTTTTCAGGCAGTCGAACATCCTGTTGGCCTTTTTGATGGATGCTGTTAGAGCAGTGACGTACTACATGAATTCATTCCGATCATTTTTTTGGCAGAGGAAGTAACAGGTGTATAATTTCCCAGTTCAGCCATATATAATTATATATAATTTGACTTAAATAGATCTAGAGTTTCCACTGCTCCAGTCTCTAAATCTGAGGCACTGTGTTGTTCTTAAATGCTATTTCTGAAAAGGATCCGAAAATAATACTTCAAAAGTTAATAAAGAGCTTGGGATAGGATATAGAAGATGCCAGATAATTTACTGCACATCTCCCAAGTGCTTTTGGGTAGAAAAGGAATTCCTGTGTTTTCCCAAAAGCTGCTTTTCTTTTCTTTTCTTGGTATAGACATTCACATGGGGGTAGGGTGGGGAAGGTTAGTCAGATGAGAATTTGCTAAAGCTCAGCTAATCATTTATTAAAGCAGTCCCTGGCTTGCCAAACTCATTAATCTCATTAACAGAGAAGGAGGGCTACGGTGCATGGTTAGCTGAAAGCACTGTGTTTACTGAGCAGCGTACTTCGTTCACAAGGGAAAGAATTAAATATTCACTGTGTCACTGTTTTATCCCTGAAGCAGCGTGATGAGTCACTTGATCAGCTCATGTCACATGCTGGCTTTGGCCACGGACTGCGTGGGGTCAGGCATGGAGTTGCCAGATACAGGTCTGACCTGGACCCATTCATTTTTCAAGGTGTTCATCACATCTCTTGCATTTGAATGCAACCTGGGAAGCACAGGTCTCTGGAGTGGAGAGAATAAGACAATGTCACCACTTGGTTCATCTTGAGAAGCAAGTGGTGATGTTCTCTTAGTGCCACATGGCCCCTACATTTCTGCCCCTCTAGTTCCCAGGAACAGGAGGCCTGGCAGAAATGTCGCAGCTGCCACTTGACTTATCTTTCTGCCTGCGCCTTGGGAAAGTGGAGGAGCTGCCTCATGGCCCTGCCTTTCCTGTGGGAGCATCTTGTTGGGACCTCAGCTGTGTTCTGTGGTACTCTGGAGGACACCCACACTTCAGCGTTTGGATTTGGGTCCAGGCACTTCTGGCAAAACTAATGACATCTCCTGTGCAACTTCCACATGGCACAAGTATGATATGCATGATGTCGTGCATTCATTGCGTGCATAATATAGCATTCCTGTGCAAATGCCATAGCATCCTTGTGCACTGCAAGCCTTCACATAGTAGTCCCCATGGTCAAATCCTGCCTAGGTCAGTAACTCTTTGTTAGTATCAGTCACTATCTTGCCTCTCTGAAATATGCTTTCCCCATAGGTTCTGTCCATACTGTGTTTTTATTCCCTGACTGGTATTTATAGACTTCGTTGTGGTTTATAGTTTGGACATTGGTAACTTGTTGAAATGAATATTCAGTGTTGGTCCAGCCTCTTCACTTTCCTTTGGTTCAGACTCCTAATCATGAGATCTCTGCTTGCTTTTGATTTTCAGGTCTGCAACTGTCTCCAACTTGACCTTGTCCCTTCATGCCTGCTGTTGTTGTACTGTTGATGCATTTATTGCTCTCTGTCTGCTTTAAGCTCCAGTGCTTTAGTCTATGCCTTTTTTTTTCCCCATCCTAAAGATATCTCCTGTCATTTCACTTTCTTTTGCCAGCTTCCATCTCCTTTTCATCTCTAGATTCTGGAGCGGGTGGTTTATTTTTGCTGGCTCCATTTCCTCTCATCTCTACATCATTTCTTAATCTCCTGCAACCTGGCTCCAGCCCTTTGAAATTATTTTGACCTAGGCTGAGACACCTTCTTCGGCTTCTTCCAGCTGAACGTAAGCTTCCTACTTCAATGATTGTCATCCTGCTTATCCTTCTGCTTCCTATACTTACACTCATACGTTATCCTTACTCTGTCCGTTTTCTACTTTCTTGGCATTTGCCCTTCTCTCCTACTCCTTCCCCGCATCAGGAAGCCTTTCTTTGTCCTCAGTCTTTCATTCCTTCCTCAGCTTCTGCTAAGTCCATCAGCCCCTCCTGATGTTGTGCAAACATCCCCTTCTGCTTTATTCTCTTGAATATTTCCTTGTGTCTTGTTGTCTTTTTCACTGTGCACTGCTCTGGCCCTCGGGGTGTGTGGTAACTGGGTGTAGGGAGCTGCCGTCATCAACATTTCCCATCCTCAAACTGGTTCCCTTTTATCATACGAACTGCTGCTATCAGGTCCTGCTGCCCCTCAGCTGCAGAGAGTGCCTCTGGTTATAAAATTCCTCTTTCTCAGATGCCCCCTCCTTGCTCCTGGCTGTTCCTCCACAGGCCCCCACATCCCTACCTGGGAGGGTGTCACCCTGGTTTTCCAGTGTTGTGTAAGTGCTCTCAGTTGTTGCTGCCTGCAGCACAAGAAAGAGGAAAGCAATGAAGGGCATGTGTGGGAGGTTTCGGCCATTCCCCTGCGGGTAGATGGAGTACCTCACCCTCCCGAGGGCTCACTGCCGGCATTGCCTACTGACTCTCAGCTTCTCCCTAAGCTACACAAGGATATGGCAGCAGGCCCATGCGTCTTCTCTAGGGCATTAATACATCGACTCCAGGCTTCAGCTCTCCCGTCAGCTGGTAGATAAACATTATGTGTTCAGATCCATCTCCTCCCTGGAAATGTGAAAAACCTGAGTGTTTGGGCCATTTTTCTCCGCACCTCCCACATGGAGCAGTTTCTCTCAGTGCTACATGCCAGCCCTGGCAGGAGCTGTGCAATTTGGATCCACTCCTTCTTGCATCTCAAGAGTTTGGCAGAGCAAGCGGCATTAACTGGGCACCAGTGCACAACGGGCTGGGCCAGGCACTGTGTGCTGCCTGACTTTCAACAAGGAGGTGTGATGCCACCGATATTGGAAGGGGTGTGACTTATTGTGCATTAGGATTGTTATGAACTCAGGATCTGCCCCCTTGACTGACCTGCTGTAGAAGTGGAGTATGGCTATCCCTAAAATGTGTATTCCTTATTTGTGAACCTGCCACAGAAGCCATGAATTGTCGCGCCACTGTGTTAGGGTCTCTGCAGAGTGTAAGGACACTATATTTGAGCCTTCAGCCCCGTTGTGCTGTATTTTTCCTTGTGGCTGTAGGCTATGAAAAAAGCAAACTTAGTTCTACTGCCAACATCCATGCTTACATACATTGAGGAGTATTGCACCCTAGCACCTGGAACAGATAGACATTTTAATTTTATGTGCATGGGGAGAATGATGCTATGATAAATGCACTAGTTCCTTCTTCAAGCAATGCCAAAGTGTATAACACTCATGTTTTTGTCTTTTAGCTGAGGTGGAAGGCTTGCAGGTCACCGTGCCTGAGAAGAAGAAGGTGGCCATGTTGTTTCAGCCTGCTCTGCTTCGCTGCCATTTCTCTACTTCTTCCACCCAACCAGCTGTGGTACAGTGGAGGTTTAAATCTTACTGCCAGGACCGGGTGGGAGAAGCTTTGGGTATGGCGACTTCTGGTTTACAAACGATGAGCAAGAGGAACCTGGACTGGGATCCCTATCTGGACTGTGTGGACAGCAGGAGGACAGTCCGTGTCGTGGCCTCCAAACAAGGATCTGCCGTCACTATAGGGGACTTCTATAAGGAAAGAGATGTCAACATTGTCCACGGTAACTCTCCTACACCATTGATGTTTGGTTGGGGTTGGAATGGACCCTTAGCAATTTGGGATACTGGAGGCTGGCAGTAATTGTTCAGTTAACTCCCTTAGAAAAGGCTGCTGGAAGGGAACTGTTGTATGTCAGACATTTAGGATTCAACCAACGAACCCTAGACCCAAAGGCCATTTTCTTTGGCACTTCCCTTCATCTGACTCCGTATAGGTCTTCAACCCTGATACAGTATTCTTTTCCCTGTGATGAAGTGCGATGTTTTTATTCCTGGCTTCTGCATATTGCTCTGTATATAGATTTTCCTTAACAAAAGAGTGCCAGCAAGAGAGGTATGAATTCAGTCTCTGTGGGCTAGGTTGTAAACCTTGCAAACTCCACTGTTTTTTTTCCCAGTTCCAAAATACCAAAATTATCCTACACCTCCTGTTTGCTCAACTCTGTACTTTACCAGCTTACCTCCTGATGAACCTAAACCCGCACAGCCTTGGGCAGTGTGAAAGGAAAAGATTTCCATAGGGTGAAGTCAAGTTGGGTGGAGATGGCGGGTGGCAGGGTCCTTAAACATTTGGTCTGGAAGGCTGTGTGAGAAACCTTGTCCATCAAAAGTCGAAGGCTTCTGCTCAACTCAGGACATGACTTAGTCAGAAGTGGAGGCTCCTTGATGTGAAGAGCATGTGATGAGCCTCAGCAAGGAGAGTGCTTTCCTTTGTCTCCGTGTAAGCTCTTTGGCAGATGAGTGAAGTACTGTAGAGGAGACACTGTCTAAGCCCTTCTTGCACAGCACAAATACTGTTCGGACCTCAGGCCTTAGGTGATAGGAAGGACAGAGAGTGACATTAGTTACCCCTTCTGCTCTCAGCACTTGCAGAGTGAGCTGCCTCTGTGGCATTACCTGTCTTCCCACTTACAGCCACAGAGCCTGTTGTTTTTTCCTGAATACTGTGATATTCTGGACAAGGTTAATTCCTCTTCTTAGTAAGGAAATGAAATGGATTTGGGACGTGAAGACAGACCCAGTGCTTTCAACACTTCACTCTTCCTATAGGTGTTGGAGGGAAAGCCTGACTTTTCTTTTTTGCCTTTCAGATGCCGACCTTCAGATTGGAAAGTTGATGTGGGGAGACAGTGGGCTCTATTACTGCCTTATTATCACACCGGATGATGTGGAGGGCAAGAATGAAGAATCGGTGGAGCTGCTTGTGCTTGGTAAGCCTTCTTGCCAGATTGCTTTTTCAGCAGATAGCTGATGTATCTTTCCTTCTGCTCTCTCACTCTCTCTAGATATCTGTACACCATATTACTATGGGTGTAAGATCTATGTAAAACAGTCCCCGCAGTACCTTCACCATTGCCTTGCACCTTGTGCAGTTATTCACACCTAGGCAAAGTGGGTGGCAAACACTACCAAACCAGAATAGTAATGTTTACACCCACACTGCTCACACGTTACATAGGCGTAAATGACTACAGAAAATGCAGGGCTATGGAAAGTCAGAACCCTTGTTTTTAAGGCATAAAACAATAAACTTGCAGTAAAGTGAACGCTTGAGATAGAATTTTTAGAAATAGACACCCAGAAGTCATCAAATCATATGCTTTTTGCAGTCTTTTAACATTCCCTTTGTCCCACTTTTCTGATCTGTGAGGATGTTAAGAAGCATCGTGTTTATCTGCCTGAGTGTGTCAGTTTGGGAGATTTTTCTGTCTGCCTAATGATACTTGTCCAGTTAGAGGTGCAGTTTCACAGTCACCCTAATCAAGTCTAAGCTGGTGCTGCCACTAAAAAGACCTGTCCTCTCAGCGGTATGCATACTTGGCTCAGTTTCTGTTAAGTTCCCTTAAGCAGTGTAGTGAGCGGGATCAGTTCCTTTCCTGTTTGCAGAGTTAGCTTTCAGTGACGGCTTCCACAATCCAGCTTGCTGTAAAGGTCAAAAAAGCACCCATCCCAGCTAGGGTAGAAAAGCAGAGTGGGATGGGCCTTGCAGGGACATTTGTTGACACTGCCTTAAGCCAGCTGTAGTACTTCACCCCTAGACTGCCCTAGGGTGTAAGATGAGTAAGAAGAGTAAGATGAGTTTTTCCCAACTTACTTTAAGACCCGCTGACACCAGTGTTTGTCTGGTCAGCATACTTGCATCGTTCTTGGGTGTACAGATTCTGTACATCTTGTGCAGGAAATGTTAAAAAGCTGGGGTCTATAGTGTGTAGGTAATATGGAGAGGCATACGATAGAACATGTCTGTCAAGTGCCCTTGCTCTCATGGCCTAGGTCAGATTTTAGCTGGCGTTTATATTTGGAGCTGTAGTTGCATCACAAAGTAAACTAGATTGAATGAGTGAGTGACTGTAACAGTGCCATCACCTCCTCTCCTTCAGATGTCAGTAAAGCAATGGACAATTGGAGAATGGGTCCCTCCAGAAAACAGTGTCGTACCCCTGTTTAAATCCACAGTGTGACTGTGTATCATATGGTAGTTAATAACAGGCCCAAGACTGACCTGTGTTAGTTCAGGTGAGGTTATCTCTGCCAGGTGGCGGTTGTAGCTGTTATGTAGCTTCTCCAGAGGAGCTGTCTGTGGCTGCATGGTGAAGGGCTGCTGAATTTTGTCCCTTCTTCACCTTCCTGTCCAGGATTTGGTGTCTTCCTCTTACGTGTATCTACAACTGTGCTCAGACACCAGTGATGAAACAGTGCCATGGTAACAGGAAGAATCTGTTTTTCAGTGTGTACAGAAGACTATGTGGAGGGAAAACAAAGAAATACCCTCCTCTGAAGCTGGCTTGATAATGGCCCTGGCCCTAGTTCATTGTGGTTATACTGGGAGGAAACGTATAGCTTAGGCTGCATTACCTTGACCGCATCTGCTTTTCTGTTCATTACAGCGTGTGGGTCTGACCTTGCACTTTGTGCAGCGCTCTGCTAAGTTTGGCAGCAGCATGAAAGCATACTTGTCGTGGGCATACTTTGTTCTGCCTCATGCTGTTTGGCGCAGCTTGTGTGTATTTCTTTTTCTCGGTAGTGTGTACGGAGGCAACTTTCGGAGCGATTCCAGCTTTCGGAGCGATTCCAGGTTATCTACCCATTTCTCTTCCTCCCTTCCTCCATTCCTCCCTTCCTCCCTTTCTTCCTTCCCACCTTATTATTTTCCTTCTGCCTTTGCTGGTGTTTTTATTTCCCTTTCCTTTACCTCTCCCTATTGATGGCTAAAGGAGGAAGCAGCCAGTGGTGAGAATACCAGTTCTTAATATTCTGGCATCTTCTGGGACATTTTTTATGGCATCCCACTGCTTGGAGGGAGACAGTGAGGACAGATGTAGATTGAAATGATTGCACAGTCCTAGGGGACATGTGGTAAAAAGGTTTTATTTGCTGTTCTACTGTTTGCCACTCTGAGTGGAACCGAGATTGCCTGTTAGAGCGGTTGGAGCAGTGGAGGGATAGCCTCTGCAAAAGACACTACGATTCCCACAGCACATTGCTTTTTGCTCCCTGCTGCCGGTGGTCTTTCAAATACAATTTACATTGCTTATTTTGGGGCTGCTGCATGATTTAAGCTTAGATTAGAATTTTGCATAGAGCAGAGGTTCTGCCCACTCACGTTATCAGTGAGGGAAGACAGAGAAATCAGAATGGAAAAGGAAATAGGAAAATATCCCTTCAGGTCGTTTCATATTAATGCCAAGATGGAAGGTGTGTTTAGGTTAGAGAAAGATACTGCTGGAGAGGGCAATTTAATATCACATAGAAACCTTGAAACGTCTGAGAGGCAAAAGTGGTAGATACCTAATAGCATCAATAAACTAATGGAAATATACTTAGCTAAAAGTGGAGGAACCTGCTTTTATACGGTGAATTGCACCATTAAAAATTGGTCAAAAGCTGCTTTATGACAACTTGGAGCAAAATCCAAAACCTGAGCAAATTACAGTATTCCTTTTTTCTTAGGGAAGCAATCACAAAGACTTCCAGTGAAGTCTAAGTAGCGAGTCAGCCTGGGTCATGATGGGATTGGATGTTGAGTTTTGTCACGTGAATGTGTCATGTTGACACACAAAGCGGCTGGACAACTGTAGGTAGCATCAGAGAATCCCATGTGCTGTCTTCAATTCAGGCCTATTTCAGAAAAGCATATAAGCATTTATTTATATCCATTTGTGCTCAGCAAAGCTGATAGGATTTATAAAGCATACCTGATGTTAAGCATGCCCTTATGTGCTTTGCTGAAAAGACCATTCAGTAGGTTTTGCTTAGTCAGGGACTTTAACCCTCTCTAACAGAATCAGTGCAGGCAAGGGAAGAGGGGTAGTAACCTCTGTGCCTCAGAAACACAGAAGGAGATTGGCTGGGAGTGAACCTCCTGTAGAGTAATGAAAGAATTTTAATTAAAAAGTACTATTACACTTTTAAGTATTTGTATTTTGGTGGTGTTTGGAATCTCCAAACAGGGTCTTGCATGCTGGAAACTCAATAAATGCTGCTTCTGCTCCAGCAGGAGTAGACTAGTACAGAGCTTAGCAATTCCACAACAGGAGTCAAGTGGTGCTCTCTGCACTCGTGTGTCTTACTAGAAATGTAGAACCCTTTGCTGACATTACAGCTGGACTAGTGAATCCATTAGCAACTTTATACATTTTTATTTTTTAGAACTAATGTGATCGCATCAAAAAGGCTGAATCCTAAATTTAAGAAAGTCTACATTTCTGTGCTAGGAGCTAGCAGCTGAGTGTCCTGCTTCTTGAAACAGACAGTGCAATTAACCAAATTGTTACTCGTAGGCCCTGTGCACTGCTTTTTATATGAAAATGTCAGTGGGCTTCAGTAAAGTCATTCATTGCAGCTTTTGTTGAAGGGAACTGCACATGTACCAATGCAGTGGATGCAGGGTGTCTGGACTAACCATTGAATCAGAAGTACAGGGCAGTGTCAGCGGATACCCCATCCTAGCTTCATGTGACCCACCTCACATCAGGAGACAGTCTAGCTTAATTGCATGGGATTGCCTATAACCCAATAAGCCTTTCTGAGAGCCAGAATTTACCGGTCAGGTGCAGGGTCCTGTGAAAACAGCTATACTGCTCCCTTGCCCAGCTAGTACAGCTATAGAGCAATGGCTGTAGGTGCAGCTAGGCACAGCTGGCTACCCTGAAATGTGTAGGTCTGTGCAAGCTTGGCAACGTTTGTATTTTGAGATTTTACATAGCTTAGACATGCTTCATGCAATGGTGGTTTCATTCCTAAGGACGTGTCAAGTTCCTGGAAGAGGCAGGGAAGTGATCCACTAATCCCAGTTGTTGATTTGATACTTTGGTTAGTGATCCATGTGCTTTTCTAGACAGCTACTGCCTGCTTTTTTTTCCATCCAATTCAGCAGCTAATACTACATAAATTATATATTAGTGAAATATTATTTTATAATGAATCTTTTAGAAGTTTCAGCTTCTAGCGTTGTTATGCTTCAAATAACAACAATTAGCACTTGAGGTTTTTGTTAATTTCTGTAGTCAGCTAGCACTTAACATTGGTAAACTCACGTTTGGTAGTTTGTATTACCAGCCAATATTGTTATAGGCTAAACCCAAAATTTGTTAAGTCTAACACACAGAGAATGCAGATACATATACACATAGCATATTGCACAGTAATTAATGTACTAATAGAGACATGCGTTGGCTTTCAGAGAGGATAAATCTCTACTGGGACGTGTGTGTATGACATGCAATGCTAATAACACAGTTCTTACTCAGCAAAGTGACTCAATAGCTGGTATAAATATAGCCAGGTTTGGAGTCTCTTGTGTGCCAGGAGATACTTTATTATAAAAGTTGATGTGATTTCAGAGATGGAAAAGTTCTTGGCAAAATTCTCCCTTACAAGACGATGGTTTTAGGATTTCTCTCTGTTTCGCTGGAAAGCTGCCAGTAGCGTCCAAGCCAGTACTTGGTCACAGCAGTTGGCAGAGGTGTCAGAGCTATTCGCCATGTGTTGGGGATGAGAGGGCCAGATCTCAGCCGGGGAGGTGTCTGTAAGCAACTTCACAGTGAGGGCTCTCTGACCTTTAGCTGTGCCTTCGTGACCGAAGGTGGGTAGTGCCAGCAGGCGAAGGAAGCAATTGGCATGAGAGCCCTCCACTTAAAAATCCAGAAAAAGCGTTGATGCCAGGAAGGCCGCTGGTGTCCTTCCACCCCCAAAGTGCTCGTCCTGTCCTCGCTAGGGTCTACTGCCCTGCTCCGGACCACTGTGCTTCCACCTTTGTAATCTGGGTCCAATCTCCCTTGTCCTAGCCCAGCCTACTCCTAGTTAGTTATTTCACGCCATTTAGAAGTGCTACTTGTTGCCAAGGTTTTTTACCCCTCTTTTCCTCCTTATTTGCCAGCGACAGCCACACGCTGCTCACAAAGGAGACTGGCGTGATTAAAAGACCTCCGTTACCAAGGTAGCCATGGTAACAGCCTCCTTGGAGGTCTTTGTTGCCTGCTAAAACTTTGATCTCCAAGAAGGGCTGCTGCTGTTTCTCCCTCCAATTGAAGGGAAGGATGGGAAGAAAGGATAAAGTTTACTCCGAGCAGAGTAAGCACGAAGGAGCTCTTTGCAGAGCTATGCTCTCCCAGTAAATCTCACAGCAGCTTACTTGGAAAAGTATCTGATTTACAAGGGCCACACTTCCTCTCCTATGCTTTCCAGCCTCCCCTCAGGGCAGTGTCCTCTGCCAGGGGCCTCTTGCTGTGGCATGACTTGGCAAATTTTCCTGCCACTGAGGAAGAACTAGTTTCCTCTGTAGCTCCTGCCTCCTATGGTCCCACTACTGCAGGTAGGGCTGCGCGGGCAGACCTCAACAGGTAAACCAATTCAACTGTTATTCCCATATTTACCCAATAATTCTCACATTCGTGCAATTGCCAGTACATACCATGTGCCCCTGTTTACCCAATAGCCATACTCCAGACTGAACCTGCACCTACTTTATTCATGTCATCATTTCTTTTCAGCTACACCACTTACCCTAATTATTTTTGTGTCTCTTCTCTGCAGACTCTCTGCTAATTGTCTGCTTGACTCCAGATCCTCCCTGATCTGCTGCTGTTTGCTCTCTCGCTCTGTCACCCACCCGCCTCCTGTGTATGAACTCCTGTCCTCACTCACCTCTTCTGTATCTGCCCCTCCTGGAGCCACTCTGCACCCCCTCAGCTTTTCCGCTCCCATTCCTCCTCCTACCCTCTACTGCTGCACTCTGCCAGTGTAAATGAGGGGCTTGCGGCTTCCCTTGTGCTTCGAGGCTGGTCGGGGTCTGGGGCGTGCGGGGTGCCCGGTGAGAGGCCACTGTGGGTGGGTAAAGCCCCACAGCGGCACAGTGGGAATAGAGATGGGAGCGTGTCCCAGATCTGTGCTGGAATGAGGACAAGCTCCTAGCTCCGACAGAGCCACCCAGGACAACCCTGGTAAATGGGGCCATTGTCTATTCCCTGTTTCCTCTGGGAGTGTCTGCTGGGGCTCTGTGGTGAGAGCTTGCACAGAGGACACGTAGCCCTTGCAGGTGGGGGCACAGAGCTGCGACTCTGCAGCCGTGCCCAGCCATGTCTCGGAGTGCCCATGGTCCTCTTTCTCAGGTGGACAGAGCTGCCGTGCAGAGGTGGTGTGGCCAGATGGTCTCTTGGCAGGATGTTTTACTAATCTGTTTTCTCTCCACCAATTGCTATCTAGCCCCAGCCCTCCACCTTGAAGTTTCCTTAAAAAAAGACAAGAGAGAAGGCAGGTGAGGTTAACAGCTGTGGAAGGAGCAGCCTGGGCACAGGGAGCCGGGAGAATGCCAGCCATGGATGCTGTGGCTGCCTCCTGGCTGGGGTTTCAGCCATGGGTCCAAAAGGAGGCCTTATTCGCTGAAACCCTGCCCTCTCTGCCACCGCTTCGGGCACCGTGCGACCCACCGTGGTGCCATCCTGGGCTCCCCTCTGCCAGCTACCCCCTGGCTTTGGGCTGCGCCCATGCCCGGGCCT